TAACGAAAAAAAACAAATGTTCTATTATTTTTCTGATACGAATCGTTTGTCGTTTTATTTCACTTTGCTAGCCCAGAAGCGACAAACTGTTGAATTGCTGGTTGGTGCTAGTGATTCGGCTGCTGGTTGGCGGTTGTTGCAGAACGTGAACTCGAAATTCTGGCGTTTGTTGTGCCTTGTCACTGGCATTTTCCATGTTTTTTTTTTGCATATGCGAAAGTTGGAATATTTTTTTATTGTGTTCAAATTCAAATAGTTTTGCATGGTTTTTCATAACAATTTTCTTCGTTGTCTTTTCAATTTTGCACTTTGTGCTAAACACATTTGCAATGCGGATCGCTGCATCGTCGTGATATTCAAATGTAATGGACTAGAGGGAGAGTATTAGGGGAGTTATGTGAAATATTACAAGAGTTAAAAGGCTTTTCTAATTTCCCATGTACGACTTGTTCGATTAATATAAGTTATCGGTTCGATATTTTCCGTTCACAAAAAGAACTAGTTCATTTAGTTCTATGGTTACTTTTAGGTCAATCATTCTTGGGTACAAGTCAGTTAGTTCGATCAGTGAGCTGAAAGAACTAGATGAACGATGGGATCAAAAGGAACTAGGTGAATGAGTGCTTTAAGGAACAATTGGAGCAAAAGGAACTAATAAACCTAGTACCGACCGTTCCTTTTGTGAAATAATTTTTTTTGACACAAAAAAAATTAAATAATGGATTCACTTTATCTCATTCCACCCTTTTATATTTAACAAGTCTATAAAAAATTCTCTTAACAAGTGAAGTTGATCACGGCCTTAAAACATGTGTGAGTACCAGCCAGAGTTCTCTTATTTGGGGGACTCTGGTGGGGTTGATGGGTGGATTCTGATGTTAAAACATTTATGGCTCGAATGTTTTTGCTGGCGCAGCACTGCAATGAGAGTCTCACATTGTTGTTTTTTCCGACTTGTTTACTCTGCACACACAACCTAGACTTATGTCGGGCTGTCTGTCCGTTCGGCTGTGCCATTCATGTGCGCATTTAAATTGGAAATTTATGAACTGCATTTTTTGTTGTTGTTTACACACTCAGACATACATACACAATGCGGCGATTGTGGTGAATCCTTAACACGATTTTTGTTCAGAACATTAAGAAGAACAAAAAACTGCTGAATGACCGAAACATTTGGGGTTTTTTTATTTTGACAATAAAGGGCAAAAGTGTGGAGATTTTTTTCAAGTCCAAATTTTTAGACAAAGAAATGGAGGACATATTTGGAAAAAGTTTGGAATTAGAAGAATTTTTGAAGAAATAATTGATGGTGATGGAAATTTTCTTCTTATAGATGTTGCCGATAAATTTAAGAGATCCTTCACTAAGTATATATATTGAGAAATTCCATCCAGCGGTATTGAAATGATGATATTAATTGGTGATTGAGTAGAGTCGGTTTGATCTGTCGGAGGAATTCCTGATTAAAAAATTGTGTTATAAAAAAAGTTGTGGTTCAGATAATATTAAACCCAAAATATTACTAACGAGAGAAATCAGATATCACTGAAGTCGCTATTAAACAACATATTCAACAATATGATTAGAAGAGGAAAATATCCGGATTGTTTAACGATCCATAGGGTGATGTCGGTACCTAAGAAAGCTAATTTGTTTATTTCAGACACGTTGCTGTGTTATCGATAAAGTATTAGAGAAGATGATTTACCAGCAAAAGCTAAGGTCGCCGGTATATTATTTAGCATTTTCAAAAAATATGATTGGAAGAGGAAAATATCCCGTTAAAGAATTTCCGACATTATACATCAAGTTGTGGTTCTGATTATATTAAACCTAATATGTTACTAATGAGAGAATCTGAGGTCGCTATTAACCAATATATTCAACAATACGATTAGAAGACGAAAATATCCCGATTGTTTATAGATCCATAGAGTGATATCGGTACCTAAGAAAACTAATTCGAGGAGTGTGGATTAATTCAAAACTGTTGCGGTGTTATCGATATATTATAGAAGATTATTTACTAGCAAAAGCTGAGGTCGCTGGTACATTAATCAGCATTTTTAACAGTGTGATTAGCAAAGGAAAATACCCTACTAAAAAGTTTTCGACATTATACATCAAGTTGTGGTTCTGTGGTGGTTCGTTACTAACCAACAACACTATTCAACACTATGATTAGAAGAGGAAAATAACCAGTGCCTAAGAAACGTAATTCAAAGAATGTGGATTAACCTGCGGATCAAATAGAGCTGTTTTTTACATTGAGTAAATATGTAAGGGATTGGGTAGCATAGCTGGAGTCTTGTGGACACATCATTCTAAGGCATCACAAATTGTGATAAATAAATCAAGGCCATATATCCGTTTAATTTTGTCCGCCACTGTAGATCTTCATATCGTGCCTCATATTTTTAGTAGATATTACTTTTAGATATGGAATAACATTTTATTATTATTTACATCATCAGCTATTTTCAGAATGCATTCTCCGACAAACTAGAATTTTCGTTTTTTTTCATCTCCCAATTTTTTATTTAGTTTGTTTTTTTAATGCATCATTATGCATATTTTTTATGGGCTTGTTTTTCACATTTTGCGATTTTCATATCAGATTCCTGAAACGAAAACTTTGTTTCTTAAATTAAAGCTATAAGGGATATTGTTGAAATAATTGCCAGAGAACCCCATGGAATGCATTATAATGTTAGATTCCTGAAGCGAAAATCAATAAAAATATATATTTAAAAAATATTTTTTTATGTCCTAAAAGTTAATCAGAAAATCTTCGAAATAACGATTATGACATATAATGGAGAAAGGATACGAATAAAATATCTCTAAATGATATTAACACCTAAACTATAACAATCATCTATCATAATAATAGTAGCGTCTTGTCCCTAAATTGGGTGGGGTAATCTAGTTCCTAAATGGAACTAGGTCATTCATTTAGTTCCTAAAAAGAACTTGGCCAGTCATCTAGATCCTAAAAGGAACTACGTCTATAGTTCCTTTTAGTTCAATCGTTCAATATACGCCGGTCAATGAACGAGACTTTCTATATGAACGATTGAAACAATTGAACTAGATGAACGAGGACAAACATGTGAACTACGGGTAAAAATATCTCGAAATGATATTAACACCTAAACTATAACAATCATCTATCATAATAATAGTAGCGTCTTGTCCCTAAATTGGGTGGGGTAATCTAGTTCCTAAATGGAACTAGGTCATTCATTTAGTTCCTAAAAGGAACTTGGCCAGTCATCTAGATCCTAAAAGGAACTAGTTCTATAGTTCCTTTTAGTTCAATCGTTCAATATACGCCGGTCAATGAACGAGACTTTCTATATGAACGATTGAAACAATTGAACTAGGTGAACGAGGACAAACATGGAACTACAGGAACTAGATGAACAAAAGAGCGGAACCATTCTGTATTATTAAGGGTATAACTTCAACTTCTCGTATACAAAAGTATGTGCGTTATTTTCTATATTTTTGTTTTTATCTTTATATAGACCACTCAGTTTTATTTTTATTTCTTTGCTATTGCAATAAACAGAGCGGAAATATGAACTATATATTTTTTTCTTATTTTTTCGGCAGCATTTTTGCAGTATAAGCCAGAAGTAATGAAAATGAAAAAAATGCTGAAATTTGGCAATTTGCCCAAAAAATTACAGGAGAAAAATAACATTTCGAAATACATAACACAAATTAAAAAGAAATGTAAAAGTAGTTCATATGTTATAAGAAATATTTACAAAAAAGTAAATTAAAAATAAAAATTTAATTTTAGTAACAAAAAATATTGTTTAGTTTAAAAATAAAAAATAAATTAAAAAGTGGAAAGAAGCAACTACTTGAAGAGGTTAATGGAAGTTATTAAGAAGTATATATTTATATAGAAATATTAAAAATTATTTTTTATAAATATTGAAAAATATAACTTTTTTATATATAATTAAAAAATTTTTTTATATTTTTAAAAATATTTTTTAAATTAATATTTTTTTAATAATATTTAATTTATTAATATTTAATTAATAAAAATTATTAATAAATATTTTGATTTGTTTTAAAAATATATATTGTTTTAATTTAAAAAATATAATATGTTTTAAAATATAAAAAAAATATCTTTTATATATTTAAATATAAAATATATTCTTTATATATAAAATATTATTTGTAATATAAATTTTTTAAACATGAACAATTTATTTGATATATTTATATTTTAAAAGATTTTTGTTAAAAAATATTTTTTTTATTTATTTAAAAAAAAGATTTTTATGTTAAAAAAAATATTTTTTTATTTATTTAAAAAAAAGAATTTTTTTTTTTAAAAAAAATTTTTTTTATTTATTTAAAAAAAAGATTTTTTTAAAAAAAAAAAAGATTTTTTTATTAATGAATTTTTCTATTTATTTAAAAAATATTTTTTTTTATATAAATGAATTGTGTTTTATAGCATAAAAAATATTTTTTATATTAATGAAATATTTTTTATATTAATAAAATATTTGTTATAGTATAAAAAATTAATATTTTTTAATATTTATAAAATATAAAAAAAGAAAAAATAAAAAAACAAATTACAAAAATTATTCATAAAAAATTTTGTTAAAAAATGTCATGCGAACACAAAATTTAAATTAAAAAACAATAATATAAAATGAATAAAAGCCAATTTTATTTATTTACATATATTTGCAAATTATTTACAATATTAAGAAGCTTTTTTTTAAGAAATGCAAATGCTGGTTGATTGGTTTTTTGTAGTGGTGCTTGATGTGTTAAAAAATATTATTTTGAATACCATTTTTTTGGGTTAAGCAATTAAAAAGCAACAACAAAAATAAATATTACAAAAAATTTCGAGTTTTTAATTTGTTGTTTTTTTTTTGGAATTTAGCAATGGGTTAAAATAGAAATGATGCGAATTTTCATGATGTAACAAATAAAGCACCCATACCACTTACTAGGTTCATAGACTCCTTCAGGCGCTACAGAAGAGTTTTGTTTTTTTGGATTTTGATTATTTCGAATTTTTTGGTTTTTAGTAGCAGTTGATTTTTTTCATATAGATTTTTGATTTGTTGGGTGTAGAAGAAATATAGTGGATGTGTTGACCAATTTTTTGATTTTGTTTTTTTCGTTGAAACACAAAATTTTATTTTTTTTTTGAAATAAAAACATAAATTTTTATAAAACAAAAAAATAAAAGGGGAAAAGAAAAAAAGAAAAATGTACATGAAAGAAAATATAATTAATAATTTGCTTTTACGGATTATTTTATTTTTTTTAAGTTTTTTGTTTTGTCTATATATAAAAAAAATTTGAAGCCAGTTTTAGCAAAAGTTGTTATTGGGCCAAAATGGTTTCTTGTTCGCTGGCTTTCAAGCCGCCTTTAGCTGATTTTTTTTATTTTTTCTGTTTGGTTATTTAAAAATTTTGCATTTGCTAAAATAAGCTTTGTTGTCTTGGCTATATATAAAAATAATATATTAATACATAATTTAATTAAATTTTTCCAATATATATTTTTTTATAAAATTTGCAAACACTGAATATATAAAGGGGAGTTGCTATATATTGTATTATTTACAAATATTTAAGTTTTGAAATTTTATTTTATATTTTTAATATTTTTTTTAGTCACATTTTGCTGTTCTAAAAGTGAAACTTCTGCTTCTAGTGAAACTAATTTCACATAAAATATTTTTTTTTTCACAAACACAGAAATTTGCCTTGAGATGATATTATTTTATTATAATATATTTTTGTATATATAAAAAAATAGTAAGAGAAAAAAATTATAGAAACTAATGCAACTCAAGAATAAATATTTTATTTACTAACTACTAAAATAAATAAATATTTTTATTATTTATTTAAGAGAGAAAAAAATATATTTTTTATTTTTTTTTTGCTAACTACTTGAGATAAAAAGGGATTATTTACAAACACCTTTTTTGAAAAAATTAAATAAATAAATTATATATTTTTAATAATTATTTTTTTGTATATTAAATGCAAAAGAAAAAACCTATAACATGGATTTTAGTTAAAAGAAAGCCAATTCTTTTTTTATTGGGTTATTTAAATCTTGTTTTTTAATATCGATCCGCAAATTGCCCTTTTTGTATTAGGATTTTGTTGTATTTATTTATATATATATATATATATATATATATATATTTTTGTAATTGAAAAAAATAATCCCTTCACCAAGAAAATAAAAAATTAAATTTTTATAAAAAACATTTCTTTTCAATTTGTAATAAAACACAGAGAGGGGAAAAATATAAACTAACTAAACTATTTAACATAGAGATAATCCTCAACATATTGGGAGTTCTTTTTTTCATATACATAAATTATAATATTGATATAAAATACATAACAATTATATTTTATTTTGGAGACAAGTAAAGATATAAGAAAACCAGAAAAAAATTTAAACACAAAGATAGTCCTTGAAAAAAATATTCTTTAAAAAGTCCACGCCTTATATAGTCCTTGAAAAAATATTCTTTAAAAAGTCCACACCTTATATAGTCCTCGGAAAAAATATTCTTTAAAAAGTCCAGCCCTAATATAGTGCTCGGAAAAAATATTCTTTAAAAAGTCCACGCCTTTTATATAGCCCTTCACAAAATATTTGGATACGCTCCACCATAGATATACTGACAGGTACTTGAAATAAAAATATAGGGAACAAACCGAAAAGTGTACCTATACCGACATTTCTACAAACCGATTATGGTTCGAAATATTGGTCCTAGACCCAATTTTTATTTCATCCAAACTTACTTCAAGGTTACTTCAAGTTTGAACATGGGGAATATCGATCCACTCCTTTTGGTACCTCCCAAACAGGGGATTACCTTGGGTTGTGTTGTAATGTTCGGCTTTCAATTGTGGCTTATAGATCGAATCGAAAAAAAACATAAAAAAATACGTTTTCGGTTGACTTCATCTCAATATTATTATCTGATGGATCATCGAAAATTATAGCCGTTCTCCTTGACCATACCTGGATCTTCATGGAAAATTTCAAAGCGATCAGCGCTATATTTCCGCCCTATAGTGTGGTAATGGGTTACTAAATAATATATGAATACGTAAGCACCTGTAAATATTTAAGTGTAACTCCCCATCATTGGTCAGAACCCATCCTTCATGCAAAATTTCGTGAAGATTGGTCAATAACTGTGGCCTGTATCGTGTTTACAAATTATAATGGACAGACGGACAGACACACGGACTCAGCTAGTCGAGATATGACGATCGGTATGCTTAAAGGTGGGTCTAGGACCCATATTTCGCGGCGTTACAAACTTTTGGGGCTGCACAAAGCTATAATACCCTGACAATATGGTTGTGTAGGGTATAAAAAGGGGGTTATATGGTAACGATACCAAAAATGGGGCGAATATTAAACATTTTTTGGTGGGGAGATTAGGAGATTAGGTACACTTATTTGGCGGCTATCCGAAAAATCGGCCTATATTTATAATTTTTTTGTGGAGGGATTTGGTACCTATTAAGAACTCATAATGCTAAATTACACCCAATTCAGTGGAAAAATACGATCGAAAGCCCCAAAATACTGAAAATTAGGAGGCACCGTTATATGGGGGCTACCAGAAAAAGTGGACCTATATTTATAATTTTTTGTGGAGACATTCAGTACCCAATAATAACCCGATGTACCAAATTTCAGTGTATTCGGTTGTAAAAAGGCGGTCAAGAACCCAAACATACCGAAATTTTTGGTGGTACGGTTATATGGGAGCTCTGCCAAAACGTGAACCGATATATCCCATCTTCGAACTTCGAACCTGCCTGCAGACAAAAGACAAAACTATGCCAAATGTGACCTCCCTATGTTAATTCCTTTAGAATGAAGCGTGATTACAACAGACGGACGGACTGACCGACATGGGTAGATCGTCTTAGAATTTTACCCTGATCAAGAATATATATACTTTATAGGATCGGAAATAAATATTTCGATGAGTTACAAACGGCATGACAAAATTAATATACTCTCCCTACTATGGTAGAGGGTATAAAAATCCAATATTTCTTTCTGGTTTTCTGTTTTTGAAAAAATCTTTACTTTTACAATATTTTCAATTTTTTGTGGACAAACTATTCTATTTTTTTTTATAAAAATTAAAATTATTTTTAAAATAAAATAATACTTACATCTTCGGCCATCGGTTATAACCTGTTCACAGTCATCAAACTTTTGTGTTATGGGGCATTTGTATAAAGCACCCGAATGATTGGTACCCGGCTGTAGATTTTTATCCAGGGGAGCGCCAACAAGAAGCCTAGAAAAATAAAGAAAAAAAAAAATAAATTTTATTAAAAAATTAAATTAAAAAAAATTCCAAAAAATCTGATCTGAAAAATATGAAAAAATCTGAGAGAAAAAATCTTGCCTTAAGGGCCATTTTCCACTTCCTCCTTCCCTGGACCCCAATACAGCAATGTTGGGCCAACTGTTTATTGTCATTACTCCGCCTCCTCTCCCTCTTCATTTGGGATAATCTCTCAACCGAACATTGTTGTCTTGTGTCATACACATAATGAGGGTATTATTGCATTGCATTTTGGGGTCAGTTCGCCCAGTCCCTTCCATTGAGGTTGATTGAAAACAGAGTGTGAATGGACTGTTTGATATCAAACCAAGCAACAACACACAAACAAACATTAAACCCACTTGAAATGATTTAAAAAATATAAAGAATGAAAAAATCTGGGCAGAAAAAAAAAATTCAAATGCAACTGAAAATCTGTTGGATGGATGTATGTGTGAATGGATTTTTGTGATGGACAAAACATGTTGGCTATTTTTTTTTGGATTTATTGAATTTTGGAATTTGAAAAAATATCCACCAAAACACTTGTGAAAACAAGTTTCGAAAAAAAATAATGTTTGGCAGCAGCCGGCTCGCCAACTGACTAAACTATACGACTACACTATATAAAAATTGTTTGTTGTTGTTATAATTTTTTGTTATTGTTGTTGTTGCCTGAGATGTTATTATTACATTTTTTTCTGATTTTATTGTACACATGTACGAAGAATATGTTTTATTTTTGGGATTATTATTGGATATATTTGGGCGTATGGTTGGGTTGGCTGAATGGCTTTTTGGCTGGCAGGCCGTCTGGTTATTTGATTTGATTGCTGCTTGGGCAAGTTTGCCATTATAATGAATGGAATGTGTGTGTGTGTTTGTTTGTGGAGGCTCGAAGGCGCTGGCGACGATTACATTACTTAAATGAATGGCCAATGCACTTTTGACAGTTGCCAAAGCAAACCAACAAAAAGAGTTACTGAGGCCGGGGCTGCTGTTGTCTATCATGGAACCATATGCCACTCATGTGTCACTCGGCGTGGAGAACCACGCAATTGCAGACAATTTTTTTTTATTTTTTTTGGGCACAAATGTTACCCTTTTTATGGTGTAAATTATGAAATTAAAATGGGGTCCATTAAAATGGAATTATTTATTTTTTTAGAAATAAAAAATTCGGTTCCCCTTTCCATTTCCCCCTATTCTTATTCGAAACAACGATGTCATATATGTTGTGGTTGTTATTGCTGTTTCAAATTAATTTAACAATAATGAACTGATGTAATTAATTATATTATGAAGCGCTCTAATTTCTATTGTTATTATCATCATATTTGTTTGGTGTTTATGTAATTTGACAACCATCATCAGACAACATCACCATCGTCATCACAATAAAATTCCAAAGAAATATGAGATTGAAAAATTCCGAACTAAGACAATGTCATGAGGAAGTGTGAAATGACCACCAACAAAACAAGCGGGTTATTAATTCACCCATAGGGTTGAGCGACTGTCTGTTATAATTAATTACAAAATTGGATAATAATTGTAATTTTGGTTGTCAAAGGGTGGGGAGGGGTAGGAGTGATTGTCTGTGGTCGTTAGAAATATATCCCGCATTAAATCATATGTGGTTATTAAAATAATATCAAAGGGGGAAGACATTTGATAACTCAATATTCCGAGGAGGGGATTCAAGCCTAGAGCTTAAAAAATATACTTAAAAAAAACACCAAAAACATTTTTAAAAATATGCAAAAAATATATTTTTAAACAGATTCAAATATATATTAAAAAAAATTATATATTTAAAAAAATATTAAAAAAAATTTAAAGGTATTAAAAAATATTTTTATTTATGATACTCTACAGAACTTCCACGAAAATCTAATTTTCTATGGTTCGATATTCTGAGCTTGGGAAATATTTAGCGATATTTGTACCCCCTTGACCGACTAGACGTCTAATAATATTACTAATATTCAGTACAGCTCTTATAATTACTTGTCCAGATCCCCTTCATCGTGGGTTGTGTTGTGATGTCCGGCTTTCAATAGTGGCCTATAAATCGACTCATAAAAAAACACAAAAAATTAAGTTTTCGGGTCACTTCGTCCAAATATTATTATCTGATCATCACCGAAAATTATAGGCGTTGTCCATGACCATACCTGGATCCTCATGGAAAATTTCTAAGCGATCCGCGATATATTTTCGCCTTCTAGTGTGGTAATGAGTTACTAAATAATATTTGAAAACGTAAGGTCCTCTAAATATTTAAGTGTAACTCTCAAATCTGAATACAACGATAATGCAATTGGTATCAATGTAAAGATGAACCATTCCTCTTGGATATACTATCAACTTCTCGGGTCTATGTCCTTCAGGAGTAAATATATACGCCATAGAATACAAATTTTGTCATTTTCCACACAAAAGTCTGGGTCCATTTGACCCGCTAAATATTGACCAATCTTTATCAAAATAGGCATGCTTATTCTTTGCCCCGATTCCCTTCTCCATGCTAAAATTCGCGGTGTTTGGGTCATAATTGCGGCCTCTGGAGCGACCAGAAAACCCGACAAAAATAAAGTTGTTGGTCCATTTCATCCCCTAAATATTAACCGATCTTTTCCAAAAACTATAGGGGTCTTCATTAGCCAGAAACCCATCCTACATGCAAAATTTCGTGAAGATTGGTTCATAACTGTGGCCTGTATCGTGTTTACAAAATATAATGGACAGACGGACGGACGGACACACATGTCTAGATCGACTCAGCTAGTCGAGATATAACGATCGGTATACTTAAAGGTGGGTCTAGGACCAATATTTCGCGGAGTTACAAACTTGTGGGGCTTCAAAAAGCTATAATACCCTGACAACATAGTTGTGTAGGGTATAAAAATAAAAAAATTCAAAAATATATTTATTTAAAGAATATTGAGCAAATATTTTAAAAAATCTGAACCGATTTAAACAAACCTTGTCACACATAATTTTTTCCTCAATTGCATTTGCTATGCAAAATTCTGCTTAATCGGAAAAATATTGGGAGTTTGGAGTATCATTCAAAAAAAAAATCGGCCGAAACTATATATGGGAGCTATATCTAAATCTGAACCGATTTTCTCCAATTTCAATAGGTTTCGTCCTTGGGCCAAATAAGTGAACTGTGCCAAATTTCAACCAAATCGGATCATAAATGCGACCTGTACTTTTTTTCAAAAAATACGTGGACGAGCGGTCAGACGGACATGCGTAAATCAACTCAGAAAATGTTTCTATGCATATTCTCAAAGGGAACCATGGGTCTATCTCGTTTCCTTTTGCCTGTTACAAACATATGCACAAATACATAATACCCTGTACCACAGTGTGGTGAAGGGTATAAAAAGCCACGCCTTTGTTAGGTGTTCAGAAAATATTTTTTAAAAATCCATGACGTTGTTAGGTGTTAAAATTAATTTTTTTCTTTTTGTTTCACATACTCTCCTATTTTTTAAATTCCCATTTCCCTTCTTGCCACCAACAAAATTCTTCTCTTGTCCTCCTGGCGAAAAATGTGTCCAGTCAGAGTCAGCATGCCATTAAATCATGTGGCGGTATGACAGTGTGGAGAAGTATTTTTTTTTTGTTTGATGTGGTTAACATGCGTGTTGCACTGCATTTCGCATGTTGTTATGCTGTTGTTGCTGTTACCTCCTGACAGGAGGTGGTGCACTGCAGATAACGTAGATGAAGAAGAAGTCCATGAAATTCCGACAAGCATTTGACTGACATTTTTGCATGTCATCTCTATTGACAATTTGGCTGCTGTGTTATAACATGTGATTGGCTGGCTGCAGGTTTGTGTTTGATGTCCAGATGCTGGCAACTTGTTTTAGGAGGTTGCTTTAGCAGACAAGTTGAGATCATGAGGAGGTTGTTGAGAGACTCAAGATACATAAGATAATTTAAGATAAAAATTATGAAGTTGAGATTATCAGATTGGAACTATGAGAATTTAATTTTTAAGTGGAGGATATGGGAATTTAATAAAAATTATACAAAATCTTAAGTTTTTACAATTTTGTTAATTAAATACAAATTAAGAGGGTTGGGTTTAGATGGTTTTGGTTTAACTATAATAACAAAAGGAAATCATTGTAATTTTTTAGGCTTCCAACATCACTAGTTTGATGTCACATCATTATGTTTGATACTTAGTTTAAATACAACAAGTCTTAAACACTATCAAACTACTTCTGGTTTGATGAGGTTTGAAGCTAAAATTAATACCTTTCTGTGCCACAAATTCACCGATCTCATTTTATTTATTTTAATTTCCTCTCTCCCTAACTGACTCCATATATTATCCGCCAGCCAAGTGTAGGTGCCACCCAGGCACTAACCCGAAAACCTTTAAGCAGCTGCAGACCATCTCTACTTCATCATCATGACTCTTAAGCCTCTTGCTCTACAGCATGTTTGTTAAACCCTAGACATTTGACAACTTTTCAGGAGTGTAACCCCAAGGATTTGCCAGTTCGTCTTTCTGCCATCAGCTTCTATTTCTTTCTTTTTTAGTTTGTCATGTTTTATTACATTTTGCTGTAAATGTTTAAATGTTTATTGTCGTCGTCTTCCCGGAGTATTGTGAATAAGTTAAACCGCCAATGGCTGTGGGTTGCTGGTTGCTCGTTGTTTTCGGCTTGACTTTAATGATGATGGGTAATTGAATTTTTTTTGCCTCATGACTTTTGCGGCAAAACTTTTGGCACTGTTAATGGATTTCACAATAGATTTAGTTGAAGTCGTAGGTGGTTTGAAGTTAGGTTTTTTTATTTTTTTTTGCAAATTTAAATGCGACTTTTGACAATTTTTCAAAGATTTTCTTTTATTGCTGGAAAAATTGCACACAGAGTTGTTGCAAGCACGATTACAGCGACCTACAACATTTTTCGTTTGATGAGCTAACCAAG